TTGCAAAGTCGGGTACCAATTTTATAGCGTTGTTTTTCTCTCTCGCTTCACCGACCTCATGTGCGACAAGAGAGGCACCCTCTTTTTGTAAATCCATTTCAGCAACCTCTCTTAAACTGCTGCTTATTACTTCAGCTGCCAAGTTTTGAGCCATCACTTCTTCAGGTTCTAGGGTAGGAACCTGTGAAATTAAAAGTCAATAGCCTCGTAAGGTGAAAAATTTACAAGTTTTTCTTTAAGAGCAAGGATTGCCCTGTGCAAGACCTGAGGTCCTGGGTTCGATTCCCAGCCGTGACCGCTTATTATGGCCAGCAGGCGGCAGGGGGTTTCTCACAAGTCTTATACGAGGAGGCTCCGCTCTGAGGGTCAGCCCTTTACCCTTTCATTGCAAGAAGGTAACCTTTTTCACATACTTAACAAGTCTAAATAAATCACTAAAAAGGCAAGTCGTCTCTTCATTTTCGTGTAACGTTTAATAAATTGAAATATTTAGCCAGAAGGCTCATCTTTTTGAAAACTTCAATTTCAGTCCCTCTTTAAATAATTACTTGTTAATTTCCCTTACAATTTCATACACCAATTCGTGAATTCCCTACCCTAGGTATCCCTCCCATATATGCCACTATGGGGAGTGCCGCCCCGCTACCCCCGAGAATCCTGGATAGTGGGATGATGACTGTTGAGCTACCGACCCTTTACAACCATTTACTATTGATTTGACTTTTTTTGCTATTAGTATTGATTTCTATCACTCCAAGACGCCAACTAACCGCCGCGATAGTTTGTAATAGCTTTTAATCATTAGGCTCCATTTGTTAAAAAGTTAGACAACGCTATCTAATGGATAACTCTATTAGTTTTCCTAACACTTATTCCCAGGATAGTGATTTATTCGGTTGAACAAGTGATCGTGAGGCTTGCTTATTTGCTAAAAGTTAATACTTTTAATAATTAATATGTACCTAGAGAAAATTATCAGGCCCTTAAACCAATCATCATTAATCTCGTTCCCGAAGACGCGTTTCCCTGTCCGCTGCCCATTGGACAAAGGTAAAGGGGGCTTTCAGAAAGAGATTGCTCGCACATGAGAAGTGGATACAATAGCTATAAGACGCAGAGGTTAGAAATTTGTCAATTAATCTTACGTAAAGCCATTTTTATTACCATTTGTTGCGGTTGATCTGTCTTCTGATGTATCTTAAGCTTGCTCTCCTTGATCCTAAAAAAAGCAAATAAATAATTATAATTTATTTACTTGGCCATAAAAGCTAGTTATGATTAATATATTTTGTAATTTTCTACTTTAATGATTAGAGGTTTAGGGAAAAAGAAATCTCAATTCAAAGTGTTAAGAGGAACTTTTAAACTAAATGAATTTTTACTTTTCTTTTATTGAAATTTAATATTTACTTCAAGCAATTGATACAAACGCGCTCAGAACCGGAATTTCATTTTTTTTAACGTGTGCTGTTAATGATGTCATCCTGCGTGTGAATGCGGCCATGTTTTGGCGAGTTCTGTTTCGCTCATGACCGCAAAAAGGGTTTACTCCAAAAGAAGAAAGCCTTCGCAAAAAATTTGATCACAATTTCGATGAACTTTATGTTGACTCCGATATGCTTCTGGATAAACCGAATAATTTTCAGTGCATCAGCTAAGAAGCGTGCAAATTATTTGGCGGATTCCTTGCGAGAAAATCAGACATCGCTAAAATGGTTCCCGCAAAGTGGAATACGCAAATTTGCTGACTCGTTCAATTTATGACTAGACTGAGACTGTGACGTCGTGTCTGGTTACCATGCCGACCGACTGTCAATAATTTTCCCAAATGCGTCTCCTTAGAAATGAAAAAAAGTTATTCAATGGAAAAATGGCCTTAACAGTTCATAAACAAGCCTACTATAATAAAAAAAATTAAAATCTACCTTTTCCCTAAATAAAAAAGGAAAAATCTGAATTTCAGTAGAACAATCTATTACAGCTGGTGATTAAATTGTCTTGTATCTTTTTGCTAAAGCTTGACAAGGTATCCGACACCAACACACTTTTCTGTAGCCGAAATAAACGGTAATAAAACCTAACTACCTTTGTTGAGGTATCACTTTAACTGCTGTAGGCACTCTTGAATGAAAACAGGATCTCCAAAGTTTATTCGCGGCAATGAAGCCGACCCAAAAAGAAGCAAAAACCATCTTGCTACTTTGCAAGAAAGTTTGAAACTTCCATTGATACGTCATAATCATCAATCACGTCATTTATGGAATTTGGAACGCAGCGCGCGTGATTTCTTTTTTTCTTCGTCATCACTAAACGGTAGTAGAGTTCGTTTAATGTTAAGATGTTTCTCGTTACCGAGGTGGTATAACAAACACAAGTTTCCAACAACACCCGGGAATTAGGACGCATCTTCCGCTGAGTCTACACTAAATCCATGCCGCACAGTGCTTTTGATTTTTTTTTTCGCTTGTAGGCTTTGATAGTTTGTGCGACCACCCATATTTGGGGAAAAACCTGAAAAACGCTACTTGCAAAATTTCTCTTTGTACTTCTTTTGCTTTTCGCCGAAGAACCTTTTAATCAAAACTTAATGTGTAAATCAGTCTCAGTCTCGAACCTACGCCTTTAAATATATCAGTTTGTTCAAATAAGTTGAAATTTTCAGTTTTTGTTCTTACCCACCTCCGCTAGTTGTGTCGTTATGGTCAAGATTAGTAAAAAAGGACGTCCGATAGCACCAGGAGACGAGGCAAATCTTTAAATTCAGAATATTTTCCAGTACAGTAAAAGCGCGGTGATCTTTCACCAAGCGCGCGTGCTCATCCAATTAACTTTTTTGCACACGACTGCAAAGATTAACGAACTTTACTTTTGAACGTGTCATTTGTCATCCTTGAAAGAAGAAAGTATATCACTGGAATTTTTGAAATCCAACTGGAGCTATCATGGTGTCACAACTAACAACTTTTACTTCTATCAGCTTTTATAGTGCTGTTTGTTTTTCGAGCAAGACGGCGACTCACAATCATGATAGTGAGACTGAACGCAACTCCACGGCCCAGTTGTTCGAAAGTCGACTAGCGCTTAACCCGGGGTTAAATTTGAATCGGGTTTCTCCTTCTTGTGTTCAAAAGCATTTTCTCGGATAATTTCCTCTATTATTTTAGAGCTTCCAATCGTCAACTTGTAGACAAAAAGTATTAAAACTGAAATGCTTTTTAAGCTTTCAAATCTGAATTCAAATCTTACACTAACCCTGGGTTATCTTAACCCAGCTTTGAACTACTCGGCCGTGCACATCTGTAATATCTTAAGGCTGTGCTTACACTATATACTGGATCATACTGGATAACTTATCGTGCCCACTGAGAAAGCTATCCAGTATCATGGTATGAACTGCTATCCGATTTGTGACTCTCTACTTTTATAGAGATCGCTGTGGCCCAGCTACGCTCCAGAAATCGCGCCCAAGTCACAAGAACAGAAGAAGTCCTATTCGGTATGGTTTTCTTGCCGGAATCAAAGATATCCGGTTTAGTGTGTGAAGACAGCAAATGTAAATTTTTAACCCTTGAGTTAGCTACACTGAAAGATTACAAGCGCGAACTAAGTGAAAAGCAAATGCCGAATACGGCTGTTATTATATTCATTTATCTGTATCTAATGTTCCTCTCGCGGGGAACTCACTTTTTTTGGGGGGGGGGTGATGGGAGGGGCGGAGGAAAGCGTACTTCCCATGACTTCCTGGTAAGGGAAATCTTAGACTGAAGCTTCTCAATCAGTTAAGGTGAAAAATAATCACAATACAGTATATGAATAAAACAATTATCATTAATGACAAGAAATTTATCAAACAGCAAAATCTCTCAAAAAATGAAACTTTCAAACAAAATAGTTTAATTTATTAGCTTTTATTCTTACATATAGCCTGCGAAAACATCCATTTCTCCTCGCTTTTCGCCGTAAACGTCCCCAGAGACGAAGACCGAGGAGAAACGGATGTTTTCGCAGGCTATCTTACATACAAATCCACAGTTCTTTCATGTCCTAAACGCATGCGCACAACCAAGATATTGGTCATACCTGTAAGGTCGTACCACGGCGTTGGTACGTATGTTTCACTGCTTTCTACATGCTCCAAACATTTTACAAAACTGTCGACAAACAAAGATAAACACGGGCTTCCCAATGCCCAATTCCCAATGTACAAAGCAACCTTTTTTGAATCGGCTACATAAAGAGGTCGTCGTTTTACGGTGGCCCAGAAGGGTCACACATGCAAATTCAAAATGTTGCTGCAAACTAAAAATTTTACCTGCAAATTAAAAATGTTGCTGCAAATTAAAAATAGGACAAGCAAATCAAAAATTGTACATGCAAACTAAAAAATATTACAAACATGAAACATAAATGGGCCGACGGCTGTAAGGCCAGGTGGCACGGCTCAGACCAGGTCCTCATCACTAATACTGCGCGCGCAGGAATTTTCATTTTTTATTTGCATCGATATGTTTTCTATTTTCAATTTGCAGCACAATTTTTAGTTTGCATGTATATTTAATTTGCAGGTAATATTTTTAGTTTGCATGTACAATTTTTAATTTGCATGTACGATTTTTAACTTGCAGCAACATTTTTAATTTGCATGTGTGACCCTTCTGGGCCACCGTATCGTTTTAAGGGAGTAGGTCTTTGTTTTTTTAGGTCGTCGTATTCTAGACACCGAAGCAGTTGTCCCTATTGAAAACGGTCGCTGCCATTTTTTTGACCTGTTGTTGAGAGACTCTAGCAAACTGTCTTTCTTAAGCTGTCAAATCAGCAGCAGGTGACCCTATCCCTTTCCATCAGTTTTAACGCAAATATTCAACTTGGTCTTCAACGCCGTTCTACCCTACCCCACCTTACCCCACCCCGACCAGTTGCTTGACGAGCCAGTCTGTTTAACTTGACCAGCGGCTGTTCGTATCGTACACTATACACGTCATGTATGAAGTATCTACCATGAGCAACAACAAAAATGGAGCCTTTCTTGGGGACTCGTTGCGTTCGCTTCATTTTTTCCAACGAGTACCTTCCATTTATCGGATCGCAGAGAATGTAGACAATGTACTTAAATGGACGAGTTCTTAAGACGTTGCAAAGAGGAATACTGCCTTGGGCTGGAGCGAAATGTAGGTATTTGTAGATGGCGGTTTCCACGATAAATAGGCTCCTGGGTTTTGGTTTGAATTGTACATGTGCTTAACGTGCAAAATAAGCTTAAAGATCAAAGGTGCTATCACTGAAATGTTGTGCGTTGCAGGAAAAGTCATGGCTGAGGTCATTTTATTATGACGTGGAAAAATGTATCCGTCAAAATGAAAGTGATGCTGAGTTTGCCGAAGTTTGCTTCTTTGCACTGCAGAAAATTAATCAGCATCAAAATGAACATGATGAAAAGGAAGCCTTTTCTCCTTGGCTCTTAAATCACCAAGTCTTTTCACTGGATACCTTGGTGAAGAAACACAAGGATATATTTAGTGGTTTCCTCGTTTGCAATGCAGCAAAAGCAGATACATGTAACATTTCAGGTAAATCATGGTTGGAGTCACATGCAAGGGTTACCAGTCGTTTCAATACAAGTTTATTCATTCGAGGTGTAAATAGTTCCACGTACTTGGCTTAAAGAGCAAAGATATTCACCCAAGATGTTCTTCTTGTTCACTGGCAAACTATACTTGAAGTGAACAAAATTTTTGTGCAATTTGTATGGAAACAACGTGGTATTGAAACGTCTGGTTTCCCGTGTAAGTTTGTAACATTCAGGAGTCAATAGGGACTTTCAGCAAATTGCTACAATCACCTCTACTACATTAGCTGTGGATATGGAGTCCTGGGGAGAGTACATGTACGTCCAAGAGATACCACCATGGCCCATTAAATTTTCACTTCAAGGAAGTGGCACCTAAATAGTGATTACAAGGTTTCTCGCTCATTTGCTTTCGCTGTTAGTAAAACACAGGGAGGAAAACCAGAAACGTCAAATACTTTCTTGAAAAAGTGAGAAACAATCTATGATAGGGTTTAAAACCAGTGATTATTACAAATAGGAGAAAAAGTCAAATTTTATACCCACACAGTAGTGACTACGCTACAAGACAGGTCTTTACATTGTAGGATTTGGGGTTGTGGGGAAAGGTCGTTTCCAAGCATGTACACTGCATTGTTTTTGGGCTTTTTTACTTTCAGCTGGCATAGGAAAGCTTGGTGTAACGCTTTGCTTTAAGTTCCTAATTTCTTTCAAACTACCGTGTAGCTTTGTAACTACTGGATTAGAGTCTGAAAACAATAGCTGCATGTACACTTCAGAATGCTATCTTGATGATATTACAAGATTTTATTTTTAGGTTGACTTAATCAGGGTGCATAGAAAGTCGGTTTTACGGCTTGCCATTCGGGCAAGTTGTTGTAGTATGTACTAGCTCAAGAGTCTAGTCTTTTAAGGAGCCCAAAAAATTAAATGAAATAAGTTTCAAAGATGTTGTACAGACATGTATTTGATAAGATTTCTACCCAATTTCGCGGTATTTTTCGTGTTTTTGTGAACTTCGCGGCTCCGCGACCATGCGAAGAATCAGAAACCCTGTCTTAGATTTCCGACAAAAATAGCAGAAGAGCGTGACTGAAACGTAACTTTGGAATGAACTTTATAGGTGTGATAAAATATACTTTCCACGTTCTGTTTCGGCTTGCAATTTCTGTACTGAAATAAATCTCTTCGTGTGTGCTTCCTTTCGAGTTTTTTCCCTAAATTTTGAAGGGGACAAATTGTCCCCTTGGCCGTTTTTTAAGGGGACAATTCCAATTGCAGTGCGGGATTGGCGCAATGGCGCGGCCTGGCTCAAACCCTGTATCTGACCACATTTTATTTCAATTTTGCTGTCCAGCAGATGGAGTGATTATTTTTGTTATAACTTGTCCAATAGATACACGTGTAGTTATTTAAGGACACAATGTAAATCATTTTTTAAGTTTCAGGGTACAGGTCTATTTCAAGGATACCATCTATTCTTCTTGGGTACTTAACTATTCACCCCAAATCAGCAAAACCCCCTGCAACCTCAGGTACTTTGTACATTGAGGATAACTACACTGCAGCTGTTTGTGAGGTAAATATCTGTTATTGTTGATAACAAAAATGTAGGTGTACATCATTGACTTTTTGTTTCAGAAAACATCCATTCTACCCACTTCTTCTTGTTTTGTACATTAATTTTACATAATGAACTTTGAGCATAAACCCTGGTTTTGCTTATGGGGCTAGTCTGGGTAAACAAGTCACTAACTATACATTAGTCTATTCTGAAAATACAGTTCTGGATTTATATGGGATTTTTTTAAGTTTTTTTTTTTTCATGAAAATGACTGAGTGAACTCTTTTGTTTGTCCTTTTATTTTTTTTCTAGATAACCAACCCTGACAGATGGTGCCTTGATAAGCTAGTTGTGATTTCTGAATGGAATTATGTTCCACAGTCTTGTTTACCATCAGTGAAACTCACCAACAAATGTAGTGCTAATTCTGGTAAATCTTTTTCAGTGACTTGTACTTTTTGATTTTCATTATGAGAAGCGGTGGGAATTTTTGTGTTACCTTCTACATAGAGTGTAGGCATTGTTCAATTAGATTGGGTCATATAAAAACAATATTACTTTTCTCAAAACAAAATTGTGCTGCAATGAAGTAAGGTTTGATTGTCTCAGCTTCCTCAGTTTAATTTATCATGATTGTTATCTGGTTAGTAAGTTTGAAGTAACTGTACGTAAGTAGACCTCCTCTTACCTCCCCTTTTGTCCACTCCAAAAATGAAAAAAATTAGGAAAATTAGGATTTTTTCCTCCTGTTGGGTGATGTCTGCATAGCCGTTCTTTGGACTGATAGGCCTAACACCATGTCATTTAATTTAGAGAGGTTAGTACATGTGAAAGATGTACAAACTGGTTACATTGAGATCACTGGGAAATGTATTCCAGTCAAGGCCACTACAAGAACAGCACGTGATAACAAAGCTGTTGAGTTCTTGACCATTGAGCAGATCCAAGAAGAAAGTAGGTAAGTCTGCGTTTTAATATTTTTCGCTCACAATAAACAGATGTTGTAAGGTGAAAAACCTTAAGAACCTTGTTATTTTTTTAAAAACTTACTTAGAAATGCTTAAATAATTAAAGGTTACCATGATAATACATGTAGTTGCATGTGTCTTTCTGGGAAAGGATGTGAGCTGCTGACATGGTTTTTAATAGACAGACCTCTTGGTCATTGTGACTTCACAGATTTAAAAAGGAAAATTTTTAAGCTGGATGACAATAATATTACCCAATGACTTCCTTACAGCTGATGGTCCTCAGTAGGCAAGATGTGTGTCATGTAAGATTGCCTCAAATCCCTTTTAAGTACAGTGTTGAAAGTGCAGAAATGTTGTCTCAGTTCAAGTCCTATCACAAGGATTCAAAAGACTGTTTTCATGTTTTCTTTGTCCCATGCCCTTCACATGGGTGACATTTTAACTTTCTTGATACAAGTTGGGTGTCTTTGTTTTATCAAATTCTCCCTCTTTATATCCTTTGTGGATAGTTGTGAGCTTAAGCAAAGATGTTTTTGAACTATGCATGTTAACTGGAAGTGGATTTTTGCATTCTTAGGCTGTGGTTTTGTCCAAATTTTCAGGCAAGAATCATCTCTTTTAGGTGGCTGAACACAGTTTTGCGGGCAGTCAGTCAGTCGCTGGACTGCGCGTGTTTTAAATTAGACAAACGGCGGCGAAAAAGCAATGGTACAGAGAAGACGATTTCTCAAAATCTACTCATTAAAATTTTGTGATATTTGACAGAGTTTTTACTTTTATCGTATTCTAAATAATGAGAACTTTAAAATGGAAGTTGAACAGACGAATTTTGTGACACATTTAATAATTACAGTACCATTATTGATTATCTAAAATCACGTCTGTTAAAATTTGGTCAAATAAGTTTCAAATGGTAATGATTAATTATAGTAAGCTGTGTGCAAGTTTATAGGAAAATCTAATGAGCAAATTTTATGTAAACTGAGCAAAAGTGGAATTTTAAGGTTGTATTCAATCATTCATGTTGCCATGGAAACTACAAAAACGTCAAATTTTACCTGTCAATCAAAATTTTTCATCAGTGTATTTTTCACTTGCCAATTTTCAGCTTGTGAGCTGTAACCTTTCTCTTGCCATGATTTGGCAAATGACACGTACTCACAAACTGCCAAAACTGTGTTCAGACACCTTAAAAGAGTAACAACATTTAGCGATTATACAAATTTGGTAGTGCATTGCAGGAAAATTAAAAGCCAGGGAAAAGACTCCACTTCCAGTTGACATGCGCTGTTGAAAAATGCCTAAGTTGCTTATTAGAATATGCTCCTTAGTGTCTACCAAGACTGTCGTAAAAAATATTGTGGAGAGGTCAATCAGGTTTGCCCTTATGGTCAGAAGCTGCCAGCTGCTTTAGCCATCTTCCTCCGACATACGACCATACGACCTATAATTATGTAGATGCCCATTTTGTCAAAGGCTTGTATTGCCATGTTAAGTGCCATAAAATAATGTTAATGATCTATATGTAATAGATGCCTTGGGCATCTCTTTAATTTTAGGGGTCTATTAGGGGGCATTCAATAGATAGCAGGCATTTATTTTCATTTTTGTAACAATCTTGAGAAAACTAAAAATTAATGCTTTCGGTGAAATTTGAAGAGAGTTCTTAAATACGTGTATTGTTATATCAAGCCTAGGCTAACAGAGATTCATATCTCAACTTCGACGTCAGAATCCTCTTCCAAGGTCATTTTGTTGTCACTGTTAATCTATCCCTTCTTTGAACTTGACGTTGAACAAAATGCAATGCACAAACTCTAATGATTTTAGTCCTTTTTGCTAATTCCTAGTATTTATTTGCTGTGATGGCAGGGTTCTATCTAGGATTTATTGTTTGGAGGAGGAGTGGCCGAAGGCCATGAGTTTCCTGGTGGTTCCGAGGGCGTGCACCCCCCCTGAAATGTTTTGAAATAAACATGCGCTGAGATACAATCTGGTGCATTTTGAGATGCAATTTTAAGAAATGTTACAGTGCTATTTTATTTTTAAATAATACTCCATGTTCCTTGTCAATAGTGTGATTATGTGATTAGACGCAGGATACTTACTTCACGTGCACTGACCTGGTCGCGTCTGGATGATTTTTTCCAGTACAGTTACTTATTCTGTAATGATAACAATATTTTTTTTTTGGGGGGGGGGAACTTCTACCCCTTAAATACCCTAGAAAGAACACTGGATGGGGGGAGTCTGTTAGACAGGAGGCCTAATTAGAGATCATCTAATTCAAAAATTAACATCTTTGAGGGTGCGTTTATTTGACAAGAAGCATTTACATGTATTTGAGAGGGTATCTATTAGATCATTATTTTTTTGGTAATTGACCTTTATGTGATGCCTTTTTCTTGTGTACAGCTCAGCTGTCAACCTAAACATCTGCGGCAATATCTTTGCACTAAGCCCAGTCCACAGGTATGTAATTGACTCAACTGTGATTGTACCTTTAAGGCATTTGAATCATACTTTTGATTCTTATTTAAAAGTGAATTTGTCATTTTGACTCTGCTTTAGATTGTCTTGAATCCCATGCAAGATCTACCACAGTCTTATTTTTATTTATTTCTTTTTCACCACAGCATGAGTATTGGAAAGCCGTTCTTCTTGGTTAAACTTTCCTGTATTGAGACAAATCTTACAACCTCAGTCGTAGTCCAGGTAGGTAAGGGCCTGATATAATTGACAAGGAAAGGGTGGAAAGTTTATTTTATTTCTTCTTTTAGATAACTTATAAGCCTAACAGATGGTACGTGCCTTGACAAGCTTGTTGTAGTCAATGAAAATTCACAATATCTGGTATTTAAAGGAATAATTGAGATTTTTTCCAAATGCGAGGGTCAAGCTTCTAGTGTACATTAGATGTATATACGTAAAGTAAAAGGTAACTTCTTAAGGTGCTTTGAATTTGTAAGAACTGACTGGCCAGACCATTCCCATTGTAATGCAATTTCTTCTTTTATCAAAACTATCCAGTCAGATCAGTCAAATCCGAAATAGTATGCACAAAGTAGATGGTTTTTCAGCAAAAACCCTTTTGAAAAAGCTGATTTCATTTGCTTACTGACTGGTCCGGCAATGGTTCGGCTGGCCAGTTCTGACAAATGGAAAGAGCCCTTTCTTGACTTTTACACTGACTGTTCTTGTTTGTTGAACCATTTATTACATGCGTAGTATGTAGAAGAGCTGAAAAAGGGGCCAAGGCCGGCTGAAAGTGCTTCTGTTTTCTTCAGGGGGGCCAATTTATGTTCTGGCACAATTTCCTGCAAGTTGGCGAGGCATATGTGTTCAGAAACCTAAGAGAAACCACTATGAACAAGGTGTGATATTTGAAATCGTGCTTAATAATTTTTTTAAGTCTTGGCTTTGACTGACTTTTCTATTGCTCATTCATAAATCTAATCTGACTGCATCATTTTCTATGATGATTTATTTTTTTATCACCAAGGGAACAAGAAATGAACGACGAATTTTGGCCTCAACTCGGCATTCAGAGTTTCAAAAATATCAGCCGGGAATAACTGTAAGATCGTCAAGAAGCATCAAGCGTCTTCAAAGTGATGAAGAGGATAAGGTGAGGGCTGTTATTTCATTGGGGTCTCTAACTAGAGAGGCCAATCTCTGAAAATGTGAAATTTGGGGACTTAATCCTTTATACCATTTTCCATTATCCACAAGAAGAAGGGGTCGCTAGGTGGGCATTGGGGGGGATTGCCTGCATAGGAGGCCTTGAAAGGGGTCCCCCTTTCCCGCTTCCTTAGTACAAATCTATGGTAGACTGGCTAAAAGATGTGCATATCTATGAAGATGCGGCCGGAATCGTAACATGAATTAGAGAATGGGAAAGATTTTGCGTGACCATTAGGAGCGAGGATGATTAGTGCGTGGCCTTCGGTGCGAGAGGTCCCAAGTTCGATTCCAGGTGCCACTACATCCTTGTTTTGACTTCTCTGCTTTTTGTGTTGCTTTAACTACAGTCTCAGACAAACACGGCTGGGACACTTCCACTGAACGCTGTTTTTTTGCCTTCTTGCGTGTTTCCTCTCCTTCACAATGTTGTTTATCGCACTTAACTCACCAAATCTTGTGCACCAATATTGGGAGGGCCAGGAGACAGTAAAGTGTCCCAACAGTTTTGACTGAGACTGTATCTTTAAGTAGTTTTTAAAAAGGAGCAGTTATGGAGAGATGTCTGTCTTATAGATAGTAAAATAAAGGGAGTGAGAAAGGCAGGGGCCAACTCTAGGTGTCCGTTAAGAAATAGTCGGCTGTATTGTTTTTTATCCGTTACCAGCTTAACAAATAAAACGCTTCCAACGGCTCCAGAATGCGTGCGCTAGTTTTGATTTAAGGAATTATGCCAAGGAGGCCAATCTTCTTACCTTGAATTGGCTAAATGTAGTCAACAGTAGAAAAATGGCAATGTTGAAAATGACTTTTGACGCTCTATATGACACTATAACTTTCCAGATTTTTTAAATCTTAAACAAAGTTGACTCCTATAACTTAAGATCTTCAGTAGCCCTAACTACAGTCGAAACTCAATCTAACGAACCTCGATATAACGAAGTCCTCGGTATAAAGAACGATTTTCTTTATCCCAGTCATAGTAAGGTGTATGAAAAAGAACCTCGATATAGAGAACACATTCTGCCAGTCCCTTGGCCCTACTAATGAAAGCAACAGTTTTCAGGATTTGGCTGCCTCAGTTTTCAACCACCTACCTGCTGAGGTCAGGAACATAACGGACTATAACCTTCTCTGTAAATCAGCCAGATCTTTTTTATAGATTTGATTTGATCAGTATATGGTGGCATACAGTTATGTACTCCGTCAGTTTAACCTTCTGTTGAAACTATTACCGGTACATTATTTTCTCAGACAGAACCCAAACGCCTGAAAATTGACAAGCAAGGAGAGGATTTGAGTCCGATAAAAAGTAAGCAAAAGTTAGCTGCAACATCAAGAAGTGTTACTGCCCAGGAACCATTATGCAGAGATGTTGAAGCAGCAAAACCAAAGCCCCCAGTTAACATGTCTTACACGGTAGGTCGGTGAACAATATCTGGGTAATTATTATTCTCTGAGCGGAATAATAAATAACAAATAAAGAAGCCTTGACTGTGCTCTGTTCTGTTCTAAAGCTTGCACGCAGGAAGTGGCTAGAACAAGAAAGAAGTCTAGGAGGAACGCGAGATGTAGTCGAGTGTTTCTCCCTACTTCTTGGCTGCTGGAGCCGCTTTCTAAAAGCCTTACAACAGAACAGAGCACGGTCAAGGCGTCTTTATTTGTTTTGTGATAAAGAATCCGTTAAATTCCACACGCATTACTTTATAATTTTCAAAGCGTGGCGTGACAGCTTTAGCTCCGTGTTTTATACTCTCACAAAGCACGCTTTTTCAAATAATCAAAGAGCGCGTTATATCTAAACTTTATTATAATGCATATTAAAAGTGTACATCTACTCCTTGACTACATGTTGTATACTTACAGGGTGTGATAACGAAATGTCTCAAACCTGAAGCTGGAGTTTATGAACTGGACGAAAAAATAAGGTGTGTAATAAGTTTAAATGTAATATAACAGTGTGCTTTTGTGGAGAACGGCAAGATTTGCTGTTTTGCGATGTTTTAAGATTCTCCAGGAATTTTAAGCAGTACACTATTGGCAGTGGCGTAGTGGGAAATCGAAATGCCAGGTAATGAATTTTACTGTGGGCTATGTTGTTTATGTTGCGTTTTTATTGATTATATCTTAGAGTCAAAATTACTAAAACTCAAATCGTACAGCGTACAGCAAAAAATTCCCATACATTGTATGAAATCTTAGTGTTTTGACTTGACTATCTCAAATAAATTTTTTGTAACGTAATTCCTTTTGCAGACTGTACATTAATCACCAGCCCTGTGTAAATCTGGGTCGTGGCTTGCGTGTTGGTGCTCATGTTACTGTTCACAATGTTCATTTGTGTAGGAAAGGAAAGGTTAGTGGTGCTTTTGCTTTGATATGCCACTATTGGTGGAACACCGTTACCTAAAACGAAGTAACTAGACGCTTTCGTGGCGTAAACTTGGGCTTTGTTGACGTTGAAAGTGCTGGAACGAAGCCCAAAGTATAAATTAACTTATCGAAGATCTTCTTCTTGAGTTTTTCCTCTAGACAAAAAATTGTGTTCCTTAATGGGAACAGTAACATATTATTGGAAGTAAGCCTACAAAAAAACTAGCCTTTTTTGTTGTTTGGAGTGGCTGTTCTGCTAAGACTCGGGATATTTTCTCCTATGCTTCTCTTGTTGCATTCACTGTTGTCTCAATTTGTCAGAAGAAATACCTTCAATTGCGTGACACAGAACTCCTCCTCTTTGAGTAAGCGTGGGTGGTTAATCACATTTAGCATAAAGTAAGTCCTTTCAAACACTTTTATTTTTCTTTTTATTTTAGAAAGTTCTTGGATTGTGTTGCTGCACACAAAGTACAGTGCAGATTATCAAGTTTTCATCCCTTGCATCACCTTGGAAGGTACTATTGAAATAGTTATTTTTGCTTAAAATAATGCACAGTGATCAGATAAATAGACGTTATCAGTTTTTTTGGAAGCCATCTTGATGGGTAGACAATCGTGTGAGAAATTACTCTGTTTGTATGAGAATATAAAAAATCGTAAAACGGCTGTTCTGAAAAAAAGCTACACAGCAAAGGATTCTACTGACAAGTTTTGCGGGCCGTACCCGTGCTTAAATTTCTCCAGTCGCTTGCTTTAGATTTTCCACATATTTGTCGGCAAATTGTCTCGGGAAATTTTAAAGACATTGTAGAAATTATTAAAAAGTGGTTCCAGCACAGGTAACGCCCGATTTTCCCGCGCCTGCTATCGGCTTCTTCTTGGTTACATATGTCAGTTTCGCTTTTTGACTAGTAGGTTAGATTTTTTCTTAACTTTAAAGTTAGAAGGAGAGATCCCTGACGGGATTTTTTAGTGGAAGAAAAGGTGGCAGTATAAGTTTCCGTTTCGCCTTGAATTGGATAATGTTAGAAGTGACCTTTTTTCCCTTCATCCAGCCTTTTAGCCCTGGTGAAAGTCCCTTGGCGCTGTTAGGGCAGAACCTCACTCTAGCTGATTACGTAGACTTACTGGAGATGTGTGATAAAGTTATTGAGAAGTTTTCGCCCTCTTACAGGTAATACGTTTAACAAGCTGCAACATACCCTAGGCACTTAGAGGTTTTTTTCTCGCGTGCGGCGGAGATGTTTCGGGTTTGTTCGTACTATAGGCCGGCACGTCTTTCGCGCGGGTCACTAGAGAGCTTAAGCAACGACGACGTGTCGTCACTGGAGGCATTTCATTGTGCAAATGATTAATTCGGTATAAAATTCACCGGGGATTCTCAATTGAAAAATGCCGTAGCCCTGATTTGCTTGCCCAGCAGTGAAGATGCTAAGGTATAGAGTGGCTAATTAATTGATAGTCGAAAGGTCGAAGAGACTAGGAATCTGACCCAGTCATACGTAACTTAAAACCATTCGTCGCAAAATGGTCACTTGGTGTGATCCGAGGCTCCTACATACCATGACGAGACAAAATGGCTTCATTATGATCGTTCACCCATAGGAACTTCAAATTGAAAAAACAAACAAATAAGCAAAAATTAACAGTGAACTTTTTACTTTTTAAAGCATTACAAGCAAAAATAAATGTTAAAATATATTTGATGATTCGGTGCATTATCTGCCATTGTCCAGAAAAGCATTTTATAGAGATAGCCGCTTCGAATTCGTTATGAGCAAAATTTTGTTGCTCAGCTGACGCGTTGAGACAAGAGGTCCATTATAGTTAACTATTTACTGTGCACCACTTAATGATGGAGGGAACAAGGTTAGATGAACATTATTACGGTTAGATGAACATTATCCTTTCTTCTTCACACAGGACAAGTCAGTTGGTTGCTTACTCTGCCAGACAGAACCGGTAAAGATGTCTATATACTTTACTCAATCTCGTCCCAGATTCTTTCATTAGAATTAAGACGTTTTATTATTTGTATATTTGCCACACGAAAAAGGAAAGTGGTGAGGAGATCTAAGAGAAACTATAGCGAGGTTATGAGAGATTAGGCCGCTTCGAACTACGGGCTCTAGTTGTTTAAATCAGGTCAAGCAAAAGATGGCGTCAAGTCTGAGTTGGAAAAAAATTAAGATCGTTTTTCATATTTACTCATTCTAAAATTTAACCCTTAGTATGATGACTTCGTTGTCAGGTGAATTGAAAAACTTGGGTCCTTAAAACAAAAACACGAAAACGTCTTAGTGATTGTTCAACAATAAGGTAGACGGAAATTTTGGTAATTTCTAATATTGTAAGAGTGAAATTTATTTGTTTTGACAGGAAGGAAATCAGAGACGCGCGGCACAAGGAAAGTGTTTTGGAACAACTACTGTCCTTCATCAGAAATGGCTCAGTTTCGAACAGAGCTCTACCAAGAAACATCTATGATGAATTTTTTGAGGTACCTCATGAATGCCAACCAAATAGAATTAGTGAACTGCAATTTCCTTGGCTCCCAACTGTGAAGGAGTTTCTTGATGCAGTGAATCAAAAATGGGCGGAGGAACCGTGGCTGAACGGGCAATCAAAACGCATAACTGCTACACAGGAAAAAGAGGAATGGATGTACAAGATTCTGACTCAAGATTGTTTCAACCATCCAGTGGTAGGTTTACAAATATGCTTTGTTTCCTTGTTCTTGTCTCGGGTAAAAAGGAAAAAAAAAAAGAAGAAGAAAAACAGCCACGACTACAAGTACTAGGATTTTTCACGCAAAGAACAACAGCAACTCCTAAATTGTCTTCTAAGCTCAAGATCATTATAAAAAAGATCAGAAAGAAATGGAGCTGCTTGATTTGTAGAGAGGAAGGTTTCGAAGGTAATTATAGATAGTAGAGAGCCAAGAATTACAACGAAAATGCAAACCTACTGTTGCTTCGTTTGTATTCATGCCAGTTGTGTTAGTATAGTGTAGTGCAAACATTGATGCCAGGCATAAATGGATGAATACGAGAGGTTATTACAAATGCATGTACAAATGTTTTGCTTTGGGCTATCATCTAGTAAGGTGATTTATTTATTTATATATTTATCTCTGTGTTTATTTCTATACACAGCTTCTTGCAGGTTTGTTACGAAGCTCTTCAAAAACTGGTGGATTACGACTCGTTGATCAAACTGGAGAAGTCAGTTGTATTGTTACCCCCGTTGACCAACAATCCGCGGACCACGATTGTGTCAGAAATTGCTGCAAGACAAACTGCCCTTATGCACAGACATGGCATTCTAACGCCATGATTCAAATCAGCAAGTTTGAATTGATCACAGAGAAATTTAGGTCAAGTGATCTCAGTCAAGCGAGTTTATCGGAAGGTGGAAGCCGCACATATCTCCAATTCTCATTTGAAAATGCAAAAATTTTGATTTCTAAAGACACGTGTAACCAGCTGGAGAAGGGTGGTTCTGGAAGGAAGAAGGAAACAGATGAAAGCGTGGATCAAGGACTTAAGAATGTTACAGACGCGAAGGGTCGCGAATTTATGTGCAAGATATTATTTATGGTAAGAAACTGTGAGCTTCCCACACTTCGAAAACGTAAAGAGGAAGTCTGCTACCCTTGTGGTGTAGAAATTAAAATTGTTGCTGTTCAAAAAAGTGACGTTGAAAATGTGACCGCGGGAAGTAAGAGCACTAGCTCAGAACGGGGTGACTCCTGTCCAAGTAGCTGTTTTTCTCTCTCAGAATTTCAGCTCCAAAGAAAAAACTCCGCTCTAAAACTTGTGAAGAAAAGCTTGTGTTGGTCTCGGTTTCTTCATCCGGGTTGTTTTTACGTCATCACGGAAAAGGTCCCGGACGAGGCAAGTTCTTGGATCTTTAGAAATGGTAATTTGGAGCTATTAATTAGCGTCAGTTCCAATATGGAATTAGAAAGAATTTGCTGGTGTGAAAGCTGTAGGCTAGTTGCCTTATCAACGGATACAAGAAACACTAAGGAAATTGGAAAAGTGCTGGATGATCTGAAAGAGGATTTTTCAAGAAATGATCAATTATGTACTGTAGACTCCATTCTTAGTGATACTGCGGGACAACAAGAAGAAAGTGAGAATTCTATGCAACCAAGGTATGAAACTGAATGAACTGACGAGTGGTTTATGAGCATTCGAGTAACTGTACGTCATCAGCAAGGCTGTTGATTACAGTGCAATCTGTGAAGATGACTTCCAACGTCGGTTGCTGTCATCAACCGCCTTGTTCAGAAATACATTCGGCTGGACGATCATATTATTTAACTTGATTATGACATGGCATTTGTGCGTTAGTACAGCTGCCCTGTTTCCTAGTGTCATTTAAAGTTAGTTAGATGGTGTTTTGTTGTCCACTGACTTTATTAATTCAAAACATAGCTAAAGATCCTTATTTTACGTTGGTAACTCATAATAATACACTTTTAGACTCAGAAACATGAGGCCGACAGTGCGCTCATTTTACCCCCCTCGCCCCTCCCCCTCTTTCCACCAGTGCTCTGTTTTACGGGTATTTAAAGCTACTTAAAGGTTGCACAAAAAGGAAAGAAATCAAAACAAGGATTTGAGGTCATTATACCTCGGAATCGAAATCGGAACCTCCCGCACTTAAGGACGCGCACTAACGACTGTGCTAATAGTTGTTCACGAAATTTGTGGCGGTGTCCAGCATTTTTCATTTTGGTCCAGTCCTGCCAAAATTCTAAAAAGCTGGAAATTTTAAGTTGAAGGTTAACACAAACTCGTTTGGGGTGGGTTTTACAATAGCCTGAAAATCAAGAGCCATATATATTGGTAGTGATTAGTTTGCATTATGTCATGTATATCTACGATTAGACTACACGGTTCAGCTTCATTTTCCAAAACGTTTATAAAAGGTGCAGTCAAAGGCCAAATTTTCATGTAATCCCTTTATATTTCTCATCCCAGTCGTTCTTCCAGCATGCAAATCAGCTTTCGAGGTGTCATCGTCAGCCGCGAGCTGCGCCAGTCTGACTCTCCCAGCCAGCGGTTGCCAAATGGACTGGTAGAAGTACCAAAGTTTGGTCCTATTAAGGTTACAGAGGTTAAAGATCTACAGCTGGGGTTCACCCTGCTTAGCAATGCTATTATACTACTGAGAGTACAAGACGTTCGATCTCCAAACTCAATCTCTGTGTATTTGGACTTGAGGAGGACAAGCTATATCTATGGCATGTTGCCTGGTAAGTAAAGGTGATGTTACTCGAGACGATTCGCAACGACGATTTTTAGCGCGACACAGTGTTGCAACATTGTTGCGACATTGTTTCGAATGGTTACAACATTGTTCCAACATTGCAACGCAGTGTTACGCTGAAAATCGTCGTTGCGAATTGTCCCGTGTAACATCACCTTAATGTGCGAAGGACCGGAGTCAGTGCGATTTCGAATGGCGTCTGTACTCGACATTTAAATGCACTGTTCTAGACCCTAATAAAGTCATGAAAGCTGTAGAAGTTGGTACTCTTATGTTGGTGATAAAAATATACATTCTAGGGGGTACCTCTAGGGGGTGTTTCTTTGTCTTGTGTGGGTATTGTTTTGCGTCTTGTCAGTCTTTTGTATGACGTCATTTGGTGATTGCTCCCGTCCATAACACCAAAAAACTGCCAAGAAAAGCCGTGCTTGAAATAACGTGAGAGGTCTGGGATCCGCTCTTCGCAAAATCTGTCCCGGAAAAAGGAGGAGGACTTGGACCGAGAGTTTCTCTCCCTCCCCAGACTCTCCGTGAACCTTTCCTTGTCCTACTGATGTCTTTCAAATTGTTGGCGTACTTCAACATTACAACAGTGCAGCGTGGAGTAATTGTTAATTGTCTGTAGTATCTATCTTATTGGCTTTTACTAAAGCATATTATATTTCAGTGGACAAGGTGTAATGAGCTCATACACGACATGTTATAATTATTAGTGTGATTTGTGATCTGTTTCAGGTGCCTTTATCCAATTTCGAAGATTCGTAAGAAAATTTTCCCGCACGAGAAACATGTACTGCACTTTTGAAGCCTGTTCATCTATTGTTGTAGAAAGACGAACATTTTCAAACATAACCGACGCTCAGCTAAACCCTCGACCTCCAGATAATGTCACAGCATCAACATCGGCCGAAGAAAATACGACAGTTCTTCCGAATCGATATCTCATCGATCTTATTCGGAACGAGACTCAAGGGAACTTCATTCAGACTATCTCACGCGTACGTTGTCGAGTAACCGCTGTTCAGAAAGCAAGTCTGCGCTGGTTGTGTAAACGATGCGGGGAGTTGGCATTTAGAAACGAATGTACCAGCGGCTGTTTCAGTTCAGCGGGATATAAATTTAACGCTGAAGCAAGGTATTACTTCATGGACTGTACTATGGAAACCCAGTTTTCTAGGCTAAAGTAAATAGGTTTTTATATATTTGCTGTTTTGCTTATTTCTTTAAGTACCGTAAAATTCCGAAAACAAGCCCCGGGCTTATATCTTTCAAAGGCCCTTTTTGAGGGGCTTATTTTTGGCGGGATTTATATTCGGAGGGACTTTTGTACAGAGGGCAATGCGTTTCAAAATGGTCTAGGCTTATGCTTGGAGGGAAATTTGCGTCCCTAAATCAATTGGGCTGACTTATAGTTGGAAGGAAATTTATGTCAGTAATATGCAGCGCGCGAAAGCTAAACATAGGTCAAACGAGAAAACCATAAGGGAGGGGGCGAGGAGAAAAAAGTAGAGAATAACCTTTCTCTCGCCCCCTCCCCATGGTTTTCTCGTTTGATCTCTTACTTTGCGAAACACGAACGAAAAACAAGGCGCAAAAAAGAAAAGAAGAAGAAAAACAAAAAACCACCTGCTACGCAGGCTTCAGAAAAATGCATGCCTTACATCTGTTACGATCCTTCTAAATCCAAAGACACTTACATGAGTCAAGTTTTGCGAAGGGGAACCACACTTGGGAAAACATCTTCGAAACGTTTGAATTTCAGATACGTGAGAGAAGTATTTTCGTAATCGGCTTCAAACTCTTTTCTGTCACCACCCAGGTGTATTGTGGAAGATGGGACAGGAGAGGCGCAGCTGTATGTCTATGATGAAATCGTTCAGACTTTACTGAAGCTGTCTTCTCAACAGTGGCGCCACCTTCAAGATTTGGCCATGCACACTGGGGAACTTTTGTACCAGCGTCTTTGGCGAGGGGGAACCAGTCATCCACAGGTACAGCGCAGACAGAACTCAATTTCGCGTCTTTACTTAGAGGGAAGGTGTTCAAAAATATAACAGGAAAATACGATCAGCAAGTCATGTATCTGTTTAGTTATAAGTTTATTTATTTAATTTGTCACCATAGGTAATATTTATCGAACGACCGTACAGGGACCGTTTCTAAATCTTGTAGAAGTGTGGTACCATACTGTAACGGAAATTTCAACTTTCCTGGCGCCAGTTGTTCGTAGGGTGCTATCCATCTTTTGAACAACCGGGGCCTGAAGTTTACCATCCTATCTGGTTTATGCATAGTTAATAGAGCGGAATGGTTTTTGAAGCCCGTCAGACTCCTTTGTTATATACACCTGTTTCGAGAAAGGTTGTCGGACTAAAGTGCACACGACAATCCGGAAGGGTAATATGGGAGATAAAAAACACACTTTTTCTTGACATTGTAGCTGCCATATCTACTTTTGTTGCTTTCCTTTTGCACTCGCGAATATACCGTCCGTGGTCTCTCGTGCCATTCTTTCAAATTTCTTTGAAAAACGGTGAACTCAAAACCACCCACAATACCTTTCGGGATTATCGCGTGCACTTTTTCCGACAACGTTTCTCGAAATAGCTGTATACATGTATACCTGATTCAATGAAGGTTGCTTTGGGCATTGGCCAATGGCACTCTAAGAGGCTATTGTTTGGTGGTCACTTAGGCAAATCATTGGAGTGAGTTCCTTATGGCCAAATGCCCAATTGCTAATGACCAATAATATTCTCAAAGCAACCTTTATTAAATAAGGTACAATAGCATTCATATCGTTTTGATTTTATTGACCAATAAAAACGATGAATTTAATTTATTCAGTGAACACTTAGAATAAAAATTAGCGAAAAGATATTGATGTCGCCATGACGTCATTATCAAGTGGCAAGATTAAAGGAAAACTAAAATCTGGCTTAATATATACAGTATAAAGTGACAAAACAAACTAGAGGACAAAAGTAACATGTTTTCACGCGTAAATGAAAATGAAAATATGTTAAACAAACAGTTTTGCACGGGTGGAATCTGATTGTGTTCTCCTTAATGAAAAGCATTTGGTAAATCAGACAGTCTAATTTTCCATTGCACTTCTTGAGTACGGAGGAATTGCTGCTAAGTTGCTGGGAACAAAAAACAAAGGATTGTGGACCACCAGGGTGCTTCCAAGATATACAGCAGCACCGTTGTTTTTATCTTTGATGTTTGCCGCCTTTCATAACCAGTCTCCTCTACAGGGCAGTGTAAAATGCAGACTGCGGACTATTGTTTTAGAAAACAATGGCACTATTGTTATCACGTACTCATTTGCATGGTGAAAACAATAGTCCCGCAGTCTGCGTTTTACACTGACCGCTCCCCCACTAAGTATTGTTCATGGTTGCACTGGTAGACTATATTATAATATTAAGTGATACTTTATTAAGTAGTCTAGTGGAATTTGAGACCTGTTTCGAAGCTAAATGTCTACCATCTTTCTCATTAGCTCAATCAAGGAAACCAATCTTCCAAAGAAGCTGAAGCCAAGATGACCTTGGAGAATTATTGCTGTTCTTCAAAACTACAGCGCCTGGTAGTCTTGCATTGTAAACTTTTCCGCTTCAGCAAGGGTGCAGCTAGTAAAACTGATCAAGGTAGGAAGCAAATATAGCACACAAAAGTGTCTTGAACTTGCCGAATCTGTTTATTTACTATCTTTTTATTCTAAACTATTTTCGAATCCTCCATAATACACTTCGTTAGCCGTTCTTTTGCATAAGTTATTGTTTTCAAATGGTCTTTGGAATATGCAGTCCTTCCAGGAGGATTTGAAAACAATAGTTTATGCAAAAGTTGAGGGGGCAGAGTATTATTTTTATGGTGGATTTGAGAAAAGAGAATGAGCCATTACGACACAGCGTGGGAAACCGGGTCCAAATTCTTCCTCAAAACAGTCCCATGGTGCAGTTCGGCAAGACATTGACCCAGTATCCTGCCAAAACTCAAAACAGCCATTTGCATTGACGCGTAATAGTGACTAACTGGGGTATAGAAATGTTCGAACACAGGAAAATGATGCGGGGCTTTCGTCGTTTTGCCCCAGAGAACAAACTCAAAGACTTCTGGCCGTTGTCTCTGTTTTGCTGATCTACTGATTCCGTAGCAGAGGCACGTTCCGCAACCATGCTTCCTATTCTTTACATCTTCATGCGCTCCGTAATTTAAGATGCTCGTAAGACGTATTTGTTACGGTTTGCCGGGTTATGAACGTAAAAGACCATAAACCGCTCCAGGCTTCATGTGAAGAGATGGCCGACAGAAAGTACTGTATACAGTCAACTCTCGTATTCTTGGTTTGCCACCACGTGACAAGGAGGCCATGTTGGGGGTCAATACAATAGGCCATTTCCGAGTTCCCCCGGGCCTCTGTATGAAAACGAGGTTAAGTGCTCAGCCTTTGATATGGAAATGATTTTTCATTGTCATGCAAATTAAACTTATTTTCACAAGAAAGGTTGTGCACTTGGCCTCATTTTGAAGGTGAGGGTTTTGGAACTCGGAAGTGTCCCATAGAATTTGTTCTCGAAGAATTTACATGAAAATGGAGTTCAGTTCCCAGAGGAGAGAAATGTTTTTGTTCTTGATCACCAATATGGCCGCCGTAACGTCACGTGCAAACCAACAGTACGGGAAAAAGTCAAGAAAATGAACTCAAACTGAACTGATTAACGTAATTGCATAAAGTTATTCCCTTACAAGCTAAAATTAGGCAAATAAACGATTGGCAATACTGTTTCACATCGAATAGTGCTTAAAACTGTTGAAACTTTGTACAAAACATCTCGCTTCAATGTTACAATCCACCTTTTTACCTACAGATCCTATTACAGCCATCTTTTTTTGTAAGTCAACTGCCATTATCTGTCAGCGCGCTTGATCAACGCTATTTTAATAAAAAACTGAACTTTTGTCACATTCAAGCAATGATTTTTTTTACAATCATACGTGATTACGCTGGGTGGTCGCTTACTGGAAACAGGAAACAAAAGGATACGTCGAATTTCTGGCGTTAAATGTGGTCGCGGTCGTTTAAGAAATTTACCTAGTGGTCGATTAGGAGCGAATTTTTGAAAGAGTATTTAACTGACAAACAAAAAGGTTATTTCCAAGGTGGTCACCTACGAGAAGAATGGAACTGGACCTTTTTTGTTAAATAAAATGCGTGTTTATTTTCAGGATATGAGAGTCGCAGCATTCACCTTGGCCTGACAGAACACAGCACCTTGGTGCTTCCCAAACTTCTGCTTAGGGCTGTGTCAATCACAGACGTGAGAGCAGCGGACGAAATTCGTCAGTTACTTCAAGATGCCAAAGCTTAATATCTCGCCAAAGAGCGTAATGTTTTGCAGTTATGAGCAGAATATGGTATGGTCAGGCTAGTTTTACACTTGTAAACCGGAAGACATTAAAGCGAGAAGTTCCTTCTTTCCATCGCTTCCCAGAACCGCAATCGTTGCTAGGCTCTAGGATCTATAGCGGTAGCCTAACAGACCGAAACGTCGACGACGGCCCTTCGAGGAAAAGACTGTGTCCCGGGGGCGTGGGGGGGTACTCGATATATCCTTGGGTGGGGAGGTGCGGCTCGGCCCCTCATACCCTGACCCTGTTTGAGACAAAAATCGCTGATTTTCCTACCCTGTTTAAGACAGAATTCCGATTTTTGATACCCAGTTTAAGACATTCGTCGAACATAAGCGCAGGCTGTTTATCGTCTAAGAACAGGGTTATGGGTTCCTGTCTAAGAAAAGATACCCTGTTTAAGACAAAAATTGATACCCTGTTTAAGACAAAAATCCCGAAAAACTTACCCCGGCTGGCCGCACGTCCCCATTAAGCCCTTATAAGGGAGTACCCCCCCCCCCCGGACTGTGTTTAGATTAAGTGAAAAAGAAACCGAAATGAAACAAATATAATTAGTTTTATTTATAAATAAACAATGTAGATACAATTTTTTTTCACATTCATTAATGTAAAAATATACCTAATTTCATATTAAAATACTTGAAAAAAATAAAACGAAACAATGAAATACGTTGGTCAAAGCCTTCAGTGAAATAAATGCACTCTTGTTGACTTCCTTTAAGGCGTTCTTACTTGCAGTTACAAAAGACGGAAATTACAGTCACTTAGGTACTGTTCACACCTACTACGTTGGAGTAAGTTTAGATAAGTCGAGGGTGAACCGATCCACGTTAAAAGGTTTATAAATCCTATCTGGTGAAAATAAAAGTTCCGATGCAGTCCGCTTTTCACAATAGGCCAGAATCCACGATAGCCGTTCCTAAAAAAGACAGACACTAAAGTTAACATTGATCAATACCTTCGTTAGACTAGCTAGCCTAAGCGGAAAGATGTGAAGGCTCCGCGCAAGAAGTGACGTAGTAAGCGCAGAGACTGGTTACAAGGTTACCACAATCAAACGTGACGCGCGTTCGTGTGTGAAGTGTGTTAGTCATGCAATGGGCATCATCTGCTGCGCCTGAATTGCTATAACTGCGCCAGCACATTTAGACGATAAAGGTTTCTTAAGCCCCCTTGCGGCTCAGTAGGTCAGGTGCACCTTCTCGTGCCAAAATACATTACACAACCCTAAAATACCAGATATTGATGGAGTATAAAACAAAAGGTAGGTCTGTCAATTTTCAGGGTTTAAAATGGTATGGTAGTTTGGATAACGGAGAAAACACATGCAGTAATGGAAAAAGTCGCAAGACATTACGCCAAGCGGTCCAGAAATTATTGATCCGTCATTTCCCAACAAACCGTTTTAATTTTGCAGACATTCCAACAGCCATAAAATCTCTTACATGTCAGTAACCTCAAAATTGGCTTTCTCATGCCCTCTTCATCTCTGGTATTGTTTGCGTTGTATTTCATTATCCTTGCATTAAGCAAATCTGTGACTTCAAGTTACAGGTGTTCTATTAATTTTTACAGTTCCAAGAAATATATCCTGCGACAAATTTAACTACGTGTTTACCTTCTCTCTCTCGTCGCTGCCCCAGATGTACGGCGGTAATTCAGCCGAGTTTAACAGTGGGAAAACACTGTCCATGTAAACCTCCCTAAAGAATCTTCGCATGTGAGCACCATCTCTCTAACGAAAACAACACAACTTTACTAATAGTTTTTAATTAGGGAATAGATTCGTCTTGTCAACACAATGGATATGTTTTGTCTTGCAACAGTTACGCGAAAATTATACTTTGAGTTAAAGGAGCTGTGTCGCGGAATTTATCAAAACCCAGACAGTAGGAACCGTCACCAAAATGAATGAAACGTAAAAATAACTGCTCAAGACTTGAAAGCAAGGTATAATTAGCACAGCAAGTACAAGAGGAGGCACGGATGGACAGAACTTGAAGATTGAAACGGATTACAATTGTGGTTTTTGGAAAGTTTTTAGCGTAACAGTTTTCAAAGTTCATTTTTGTTAGTTGTAGCTTTTGATATAATGCTTGGGAGATATTTGTTTGACACAAAACTGTAATTTTGCCATCCACAAGTAATGTCTTAAGTGTCAGAGAAAAATAAGGCGTAACTGGCAATCATTATTAACAAAATGAACGAGTCAACCGTGACGTCACTGCCACAACTTAATGATGGTCGAGTCAGGAGAGGCAAATTTAAGAAAAAGACAAATAACCAATTTGCTTACTCGTTGAGATCTCTTGAGTTCTCGTTTATTTTTTTCGTCCCAGCAACGCTAAGGAAATAAAAATAATTTTAAGAAATAAATAAATAAAAAGAAAAACAGACTGGTTAATTATAAAGGATAAACTTTCAGTTAATCAAAACGTAATTTTTTAAAATAAGATATTGTAATGATGCTGCGTTTTGGACGGTCGAATTCTTGAATCTGAATCCGAAAACTAGAATCGGATTTTAAATCCAACAAACTGGAACATCGCATCGCAGCAAATCTGCTGATAAAAAATATTTAATCTAACATCACACATTTCGGATTTCCATCCTTTAAAAAGAAATTGCTTGAGACTACAAAATGACTCATAGCGAACCCACCTTTAGTGCATCCATGACATCAGTGGTATAAAGTATCTTAGGAAAAGTTGAAATAAGTGTATCCATTATAAAACCTGTAGGACGAAAGGCGAGCACCTCAGTAAGCAATATCCTACTCACAGATCAAGTGCTCCACGACCGCTGGTTTAGGAAAACGTGAGCCCCATGAACGAGGTTGCCTCTTGAGCTAACCTGTCCCCTTGAGCATGACAACTCATATGGTTTTTAAAGACGGGTTTTAGGGATTTTATTTGTTTTCCAAAGATATATTGGGGAGCTTAAGCAACGACGACTGCAACGCAACGGCAACGCCAACGTCACCAATGGTGCCTAACCCTGACCCAAAGAATACTGAAACAACTGAAAGAATGACATGTCATTGTTTTGTGCGACCAATCAGGAGAGACCTTATGAGCAGTTCCTACACAACTGAACGAGAACGGCAAAAAAAACCAATAGGTTTAAATTGGCAAAACAACAATTTTGCACGTGCATCACGCTTTTTGTACATTTCTTTGCAGTCGCTGCACGACTACCACGTGAAAGTGGCTCATTTTTCACGTTTTGTCGAGGACGTGAACACAAGACAACGACTTTCTTTTTCTTTTCCTGAACTTTGATACGGTAGTTTGGAATTAAACTCTAAAAAAATTTGCCAACAATTGACGAATTGAACGAGTTGGAATAAGCGCGATAACGTGACGTTTTCGTAGCCGTCGCCGTAACAAGCTTCACGTCTAGAAGCATGCATGCTCTTGACAATAAACTCCAAAGCAGGTTAAGCCCGGTTTCCATAAGATCTCTACGATCGCCGCGATCGCTCAGGAAAAAAAAAAAATGTTCAGCGATCGCAGCGACAAGGATCGCTGAGATAGAACTTTCTCTATCTCAGCGATCGTTGTCGCGGCGATCGCTGGAGAGTGGTTTCCATATGATCGCGATCATATGGAAACCGGGCTTAACAAGGCCAAATTTGTTTCTTTTATGAGGGGGAGTCGTTAACATTTCCCTTCCATGATTGTTTTTTTCGTCAAAATGTCGTGCACAATTTTTTTTCTGGGCTATCTAACATGCAAGAATTATTTTTTACTTAAATTTTCCCTTGCATGAATAACCTTTTGTTTTACTTAACCCCCCCCCCCCAATATAAATTTAATAAGTAATTAAATATAACCTGCATCTTGTGAGTCGCGCCACTCGTCCATGACAGCCTCGGTCAGAAGTTGTCGGTACAGAGAGATGAACTGAGCATACACGTGACAGGTTAACAGAGTATCTGGTAACATGCTACAGAAATTAAAAACACGGTTATCACGGGACAACGGCAAGGGGTTTTTACCGGTGTACAAAGAAAGCACCGACTGATACTTACTCATACATCTCTTTTCTCTGGTAAGAGACAAGTTTTACTGTCAGTCTTGGCTGTCGGTTTGCACGCACAACTTGTTGGAAACGATTAGTGCTGGCTGGAAGAGTAACAATTACTTACGATCAATCCATCAATCCCATTAATATAAGACAAACGTTTTTCATTCCTGTTTCTTTCTTTTGTCTTTGGAATATGTTCTCAAAAAACCTAGTTTTGAATCAGTGACAAACATAAAGGACCTTTGCTCAGACTTTACAACCGATTTTCGTGCATAGCGCATCTGTTACATTTTTGCGGTTCCCGCTCGGTCTTCGCAGCTCGTGGACAAGCCTATAGTTTTATCTATCTCTTTCGGGCCCACCCGCATTGATTATAAGTCTGTCCCATTCCCGTCTGTTGGCCATGATCCTGCCTCGAAAGACCGGTGTCACTCTCTAGTTGATGTGAATGTTGTTGCTGGGCGCCCCCTTGAGCGTCCGT